AACCCAAATTCCGGCAGAGCACCATAAATCAGGCGCGTGCTGTATGCCAACAAAGAAACGGTACCGCATTCCACTAAAAAGAGAGCCGAGATGACGAAATCTTGATGTTAAAGCACTCATAAATTGGGGGAGAAATTAGGCCGAAAGAACAAAGGAAGGGAGAAGACAATTTTTATATAAAAAACCTGAATTGCGATAAAATAGCAGTGTCGGTTCAGAAGTATCAGTCAAGAACCGTCAAAAGTGTCAGTCGAGAACAGTCAGAACGGTCAGTCAAGTGTCAGACGCAGCAAGCAGAGTCCAAAGTCGAAGATTAGGGTTGCCAGACGTCCCGATTTTAACGGGACAGTCCCGATATTGGAGATTTTGTCCCGTGTCCCGATGGACTATACGTCGGGACGCTAAATGTCCCGATTTCATAAAATTCTTTAAAAAGTTAGAAAAAAGTAAAAGTTTCCTTATTTTTGAATTGTACCTACTTGTGAACCCCCCGAGTTTGATTTTATTTCTCAGAACTCTATAATCGTCATTGATAATCACTGTATGTAGTGGATCTGTTAGAAGATTTATCTACAAAGCATAATTAGTCATGTCGTGAGACATCATACTGCCTGGGCCCGTATTCTCGTCATAGGGGAAGAGAGTTCTCTCAAGAGAACGATTGCTCTGTCTTATTCACCCATATTGTTATTTCCATAATACTGACAAAGACAGAGTAATCGTTCGCTTGAGAGAACGTTGTTCCCCGGTTACGAGAATACAGGCCCTGGAGTCTGGAGATATCCAGGTTCTTTTTCTGTTAGTGTAAAAAAATAGAATTTTTGTCCATTTCGATTCTTACTAATAAAAGGTGAACATTTTTGGAAATAATTTAATTTGGGTTTGTTTCATATTTTCCATTTTATCCAGATTTCAGCCCTTTTCTCATTATTTAAGCCCCATTTGTCCAGTGCCTACATATACCTCTCTCTCATTAGCTTTGTTTTGGTTCAAAAAAAGGACGATTCTAGAACAGTTCAAAACAATCACTCAGTTTATTGTTGAAATTTGTGATAGCCTAGCCGTTGTCATTTTGTTGATTGATGAACTGTATGATTGTTTTGAACCGTTCTAGAACCGTCCTTTTTTCGAACCAAAACAAAGCTTTTGTGTGGAACATTTCCCAGTTTATTTTTAAATTTTATCAGAAATTTTATTATTCAGTATTATTTTTATACCAAATTATTATTCCTTTAAAAAAAAGTGTCCCGATTTTTATTCAAAGTCCCGATGTTTTAACAGCTTTTTGATTGGTATACCCGATTTGTAGATATTTCAATCTGACAACCCTATCGAAGATAGTACGAAAAGTTTTAAGGAGGCAGTGTGAAAATTTCGGGTTCATAAAGTCAAGTCGTAAAAATAACGTTTCAGTAATTACGTGTGTGCCAGTAGAATTTTAAAGTAATAAATACATCTTGTAAGTACATTTACACTGTAAAAAAGGAAATTTGTAATCTTTATAAAATAAGACAAAAAGTTGATGAATTGATTATTTACGAAAGTTAAATAATTATGCCAAAAGGAATTAAAACATTTTTGAGAAGATATTTCATGATTAATAGTTGGTAAAATAAGCTTTTCACCTTTCTACTAGCTCAGGAATGTTTCTTGTCGCCCATCGTAGATTTTCGTCTAGTTGCACTTGTTGGCTGCACACTTATCATTTTACCTTTTCTTATACCTTGACGTTTGAATTTAGCAGCTGTTCCATGGTACCTAAAAGAATTATTATGCAACCCTGATATAAGGGAATTATTACTTTCAGCACACTTTCGCCTGTTTTTTAAGAAAGTGGAAGTTGCTGGATAAAAGGCTATTGGATCATTACCAATATGTTTCAAGATTTCATCAGAAAATGATTTCCATTCTTTTTTAAAGTCATTAACTTCTTTTATCGTAGGAACATTGACATTCATAGGACACGCGGAACTTCCACTTGCTCCACCTTTATATATTGAACTGGACGCAGTACCAATATCGGACAAATGTGTAGGTGTAGGCTGGCTTATGGTTAAAGTGGGAGAAATATTTCCGGATTTGGTTTGTCTCCACACGCTATTTCATAAAGCCTGAATTTCATATCAAGGGATAATAATGTGTTCATACAAGAAAAAAAAACTGATCAGTATAAAACTAAAACTTACCTCGACGTCAGCTTTTGATGTTAAATTACATCTAACGATAGTTTTATCATCAAATATCTTATAGGTAATTATAATTATCTGGTAACAAATACATTTTTTTTGTATTAGCTAACACGTAAAAACAGTGAAACACGACTCAGGACGTAGTACGTCTGCTGTATCGCATGTTTCAAGTCGAACCAACCGCGAGGAGTCGGCTGTTACTGAAAATCCGAAAAGAGCCGAACCGTCGCCGGAAATCTAGCGCGTCTGCTGTTACTGAAAATGCATCCCGATGCCGTTAAAATAGTTATACAGGGTATCCTAGTGTGATATCGGAAGATATCTCTTTACAGGGTGATGCAAGAAAAAAAAATTACAAAGTTGTTTGATACTCTAAGGTGCATTAGTTAAAAATATTTTTGAATATACAGGCGGCTCCGTAGATGAGGTAGGCAACCAAACTTTGTTATTTTGAATGGAACACCCTATATTTTAGTACATTAAGGGATCTTTAAAAAAATCCTACATACTTTTTGTTGGGAATTTCTTATGCCAAAACTCAACCGTTTTTGAAATATTTGATATTTTTTCATGTGTCAACAAAAACCAACATATTTCATTAATTGGTGATCCTACAAGCTAAATCTTTTGCAGGTTGCTAGTGCATATCTACATTTAATTTACTTCATGGTCCTATGAAAATCTGATAAAATTCTACAGGATGTTCGCAATACTGTACACAAAACCTGACATTTCAGACAATCATAGCCCATTTATTTTCAAATGGAATACTCTTTTATCTCACTGTATAGTAGTAGCAAAGATAATAGGTGAGCCTATCATATTTATACGATGCCTTCAATGCTATACTTACTTCGTAGAACTTGTCTTTTGTTGAAAGTTTGTTGTAATTAATGAATGTATTTAAAAAAAAAAACTCTGTCTGGGGGGGAGTAATTACCCCCTCTACCCCCCCTTTAAACCGCCCTTGATCCAAGTTTGCATCCAAATGCTTGGTCCAAGCGAACTTGGATGACAAATTGGACCAAGTAATACTCACTTAAATGTTACAACCTATCCAATTGGACTTGGATAAACACTAACACATCCAAGTAAGGCGCGCGAAATATTCAAGGGTTTATGATCCAAGTACGCTGGAACCGTGTCAACCTGGCGTTATATTTCATCAATGGCATATCCAAAGTGCACTGATTTCTTCGCACATAACAAGGAATCGCACTACAAGGGACACGTACAAAAACTATCAATTTTCTAGGGAAGATAGGTAGACGCCAATATGAAAAAAGACATACAAATAATTAGCTCAAGGGGGTAACTAAATAAACTGTAAACGGCGAGGACCAGATTGTTCAGAGATCAATCAGTCTGAAATGTAGTCCGAAATCAGTCTAAAATGCGACATGAAAAGTAGAATCAGATGAAAATCCACCAGATGAGATAGCGAGTGTCCGTAAATAAGATCTGTAAGTGAAAGAATAAGCAGATTAGAAGCTTGTGTGATACAGCTAAAAAAACTTAGGTAAGTTTAGAAACTCAAAATCGGAATTCGTCTAGAAGGAGAATAATTATGGCAATCTGTATATTATACATCTTGCATTAGGGTACTTGCAAGGAAAATTAAATTGATTATTGTTTATTGCAAACTGAAGGAAATCGAAAAAAAATCGTTACTTTTTTTTTATTTCGCCCAAATATGATTATTCTGGAAGTTATACAAATATTAAGTTTTGTATGTATAGATATACTGAGCATGTGCGACGTGACTAATTTATATGATAAGTGACGTCATAGGTATATTTCATAGCGTTGCATCTCCGTCAATTTTTGACTAAGAAGAAAAAAAAAACACGTGCTGACTTATTTTTCATGGACTATCGAAATCAGCAATAAAAAAAAAAGATGCAAGGGGCCTATTGTGGGTGACACGATAATAAACCTATTTATTTTACCAGACAAAGAGGTAATAATACGAAAACTTCATTAGATAAAACAAGACACAGAACGCTCATTGCGCGAGGCAAAACGTACCAAATTATGTTAGACTTACGTATAGCAATCCGTTCTTCTTTTTTGCATGAGATAAAAGGGAAGGAGAAAGACCGCGTGTTGTGCAACAGTGCAATAGCTCTTTTCACGTGGCTCCGGTTTAACTAACCGGGTTACAAAACGGTTAGAGAAATGACATACCGTTTTCTAACCCGGTTACAAAGTGACGTGATGGATACCTACCACTCGAATTTGAGCGGTATGTTGCGGTTTGTTAAACCGGAGCCACGTGAAAAGGGTTAATGTATTTGTCGATGAAAATTTCAAACAACTTTTAAATGTCAAGTTGAATATCAACCGTACTTCTATTCTTGTCAGATCATGGGCAATGGATAAGAAGGATAAGAAGATGCCCAGAGTGCAAAACGAACTCCTCACACCTGTACTAGTTAGCCAATAAAAAGGGATTTGCCTCGTGTTGCGCGCGCATACCTGATACAAATAGATGGGTCTATTGCTTTATTGAAAAAAAGTTTCATGTATCTATTCGAAACATTTCAAGCTAAAGAAGTTTCCCTACTCAGATACCACCCAATAATTTATCAGTCTCATCAAAAATTGCACATTCAATAAATTACTTTTCTAACTTACACATTCGAAAGATCTTAGGGAGGCTGATAAGCCAATTTTGCCAAATAACCGTATATAAACGTCGACGTGACAACGCCGTCCAGACACAGCCCTACCTTAACTGCGCAGCCTCGGCATCCCTTAAGGCATCGCCGTCGCGGCGCCGACACGGACCGCTCCCATTTCGCCTTCGCGCGTCGAGCTGCTCGTCGCCCTCGTAACGAAAACGCGAAAGAGCGACCACGATGCGCCGGGCAGGGGCGGGGCGACGTCTGGTCGCCCTCGCCTGACGGTCCGCGATGCCGCGAGTGCCGCCCCAAAACGGGAATTGAGACGGTAATTATCTTATTTTTTAAATCATGTTTTGGTCGAGTGTTGTGCCTTGACAGATTAAATATTGTTTGCTTTTTGGCCGGAAGGTTGTCTGTTGACCTGTTTACGCTAGGGGCTTGTCTCGCTGAATTTTGACCTCTGTCGGTTCCCTCTGTTTCGGCACTTGTAAACTACTTATTGCTCGCTAAAACACACCCTTATTTTAATCGAAATTAGGTTACACACTTTGTTAAAGGAACATTTTAGTAAGCTTCAAAAAAAAGGGGATTTTCAATTGAAGCATGTAAGTATTTGTTGTCATGGCATGTATGTATTAACCCCTTCTGAAATAAACTACCTTATGTTCAGAAATATTCCAATATTTAGTAGTTCATGACACACATTTTATTATCAACAATAAAATCTTATATGTGAAATGTTTCAATAACACATCAATTTTCGATAAATAAGAAAAGTAAACAATAGTCATTACACTACTGACACACCTTAACTCTCTAATAATGAAACATGTTTGCTTTTTATACTATCAACATATTATTGTTTATCAATTAAAATTTTCTATTTTTGTTAAATTGTTTTGACCACAACAATATTACTTTATAGCATGTTGATTCAAATATTTACTCTATTACAAATAATTATCAATATCCAAACTTATCAGAGTAAGTTGTGCCCTTAACCTAACTAGGGCTGGGTATAGTTTTGCCCCACCCTAGGAGTCATTGTACTAATAAATAGTTGGATCTAGCAGTGCAGAAAAGGGCGTTTTACGACTCTTCCACTAACTCAACTTACAGCAACATAAAAATTTAGACGTTACAGTAAAAATTGATTGCTTGTATTATAAATATTAGAGTATTCGAGTTTAATCCATAAAATTATTTATTAGTTTTCCTACAACGATAAAAGTAAAGTGTATATCGTATTTGTTGTGTATACATAAAGTTTCAAATGGAAATTAATTTAAATAATAAAAGCGAACAGAGTTCAAATTCAATCACTATATTGTTGCAGTTGTTTACCTACTTAAATTAAAACTTTTATTGACTAGTTTTGTTACTTGGATGCATGAGCTCAATTATTGTTTTGTCTGCATTTTCCAATAATAGTTACAATGTTTTTCCGCTTTACATTAGCTACATTTTTGTAAAGTGTTTTTAAATTCAGCGTCGATATACTACATTTGAAAGAAAATATTATAAGCAGAGTTCCTTCTGTAAAATTCTTTCTATAAAAATTGGGTGAGCCCAGATGGAAAAGCTAAAAGTGAGTTCAGTGGCGGCGCTTGGATGCACTGGTCCCCTAGTTAAATATCACATTTAGGCCCCCTGGGGTTTATTAATGGCAAATTGTTCAAGAAATTTTAAATATTATCAACTCAAGAGTTACTAATGAGTAATCGAAGTTTTGATTTTGATTATTATCGGATCTTGAGCTTTGAATGCCCTTAGAAAAATTCTCTAGCGAATCCAGTGTTGATAAAACTTCAAATTTTGAGTATTTCCGGCTCTTGATTGGCTCTAGGAGAGTTTTCCAGAGAATCAAGAGCCGGTAATAGTTCAAATTTTGATTATCTGTGGCTCTTGATCCATTGGGTAATTTTCCTTGAGCCAGTTAGAAGCTGCGGAAGAGGAAATTTTAAATAATACCTACTTAGGAGCTGCTGATGATCATTTAAAATTTTGATTATTATCGGCTCTTGAGCTTTGAATGCCCTTAGAAAAATTCTCTAGCGAATCCAGAGTTGATAAAAGTTCAAATTTTCACGATTACCGGCTCTTGATTGGTTCTAGGAAGGTTTTCCAAAGAATCAAGAGCCGGTAGTGGTTCAAATTTTGATTGTCTGTGGCTCTTGATCCATTGGACAATTTTTCTTGAGCCAGTTAGAAGAAGCTGCGGAAGAGGAAATCTTGATTAATATCGACGTACGAGCTGCTAATGATCATTTGAAGTTTTGATTATTATCGGCTCTTGAGCTTTGAATGCCCTTAGAAAAATTCTCTAGCGAATCCAGTGTTGATGATAAAAGTTCAATTTTGAGGATTACCGGCACTTGATTGGCTATAGGAGAGTTTTCCAGAAAATCAAGAGCCGGTAATAGTTCAAATTTTGATTATTACCGGCTCTTGATTGGCTCTAGGAAGGTTTTCCAAAGAATCAAGGGCCGGTAATAGTTCAAATTTTGATTATCTGTGGCTCTTGATCCATTGGAAAATTTTTCTTGAGCCAGTTAGAAGCTGCGGAAGAGGAAATTTTAATTAATATCGACATACGAGCTGTTAATGATCATTTAAAATTTTCATTATTATCGGCTCTGGAGCTTTATGCCCTTAGACAAATTCTTTTGCGAATCCAGAGTTGATAAAAGTTCAATTTTGGTTATTACCGGTTCTTGAATGGCTCTAGGAAGGTTTTCCAAAGAATCAAGAGCCGGTATTAGTTCAAATTTTGATTATCTGTGGCTGTTGATCCATTGGATAATTTTCCTTGAGCCAGTTAGAAGCTGCGGAAGAGGAAATTTTGATTATTATCGACTTACGAGCTGCTAATGATCATTTGAAGTTTTGATTATTATCGGCTCTTGAGCTTTGAATTGAATGCCCTTAGAAAAATTCTCTAGCTAATCCAGTGTTGATAAAAGTTCAAATTTTGAGTATTACCGCCTCTTGATTGGCTCTAGGAGAGTTTTCCAGAGAATCAAGAGCCGGTAATAGTTCAAATTTTGATTATTACCGGCTCTTGATTGGCTCTAGGAAGGTTTTCCAAAGAATCAAGTGCCAGTAATAGTTCAAATTTTAATTATCTATGGCTGCTGATCCATTGGATAATTTTTCTTGAGCCAATCAGAAGCTGCGGAAGTGGAAATTTTGATTAATATCGACTTAAGAGCTGCTAATGATCATTCGAAATTTTGATTATTATCGGCTCTTGAGCTTTGAATGTCCTTAGAAGAATTCTCTAGCGAATCCAGAGTTGATAAAAGTTCAAATTTTGACGATTACCGGCTCTTGATTGGCTCCAGGAAGGTTTTCCAAAGAATCAAGAGCCGGTAATAGTTCAAATTTTAATTATCTGTGGCTTTTGATCCATTGGATAATTTTCCTTAAGCCAATTAGAAGCTGCGGAAGAGGAAATTTTGATTAATACCTACTTAAGAGCTGCTGATGATCATGCGAAATTTTAATTATTATCGGCTCTCGAGCTTTGAATGCTCTTAGAAAAATTCTCCATCGAATCCAGTGTTGATAAAAGTTCAAATTTTGAGTATTACCGGCTCTAGGCTCTAGGAGAGTTTTCCAGAGAATCAAGAGCCGGTAATAGTTCAAATTTTGATTATTACCGGCTCTTGATTGGCTCTAGGAAGGTTTTCCAAAGAATCAAGAGCCGCGGTAATAGTTCAAATTTTAATTATCTATGGCTCTTGATCCAGTGGATAATTTTTCTTGAGCCAATTAGAAGCTGCAGAAAAGGAAATTTTGATTAATACCGACTTAAGAGCTGCTAATGATCATTCGAAATTTTAATTATTATCGGCTCTCGAGCTTTGAATGCTCTTAGAAAAATTCTCTAGCGAATCCAGAGTTGATAAAAGTTCAAATTTTGACTATTACCGGCTCTTGATTGGCTCCAGGAAGGTTTTCCAGAGAATCAAGAGCCGGTAATAATTCAAATTTTGATTATCTGTGGCTCTTGATCCAGTAGATAGTTTTTCTTGGGCCAATTAGAAGGTGCGGAAGTAGAAATTTTCATTAATATCGACTTAAGAGCTGCTAATGATTATTCAAAATTTTGATTATTATCGGCTCTTGAGCTTTGAATGTTTTTAGAAAAAGTCTCTAGCGAATCTTGAGTTGATAAAAGTTCAAATTTTGACTATTATCGGCTCTTGATTGGCTCTAGGAGAGTTTTTCAGAGAATCAAGAGCTGGTAATAGTTCAAATTTTAATTATCCATGGCGTCTTCATCCATTGGATAATTCTTATAGGTATCTGATAGACAATATTGAAAGATCATGCAGTCCATGTTGACATGAAATTTTTCAAGAATTTTTCCAGTATTTTTAATTTACTGAATGACCCTTTCAGCGGTGGCAATTGGAAGGAATGTATCAGTTAAGAATATCGATCAATATTGGTCTAAATTTTATTTTGTAGCATTTTTACTAAAAAAAAAAAAAAGCATCGCTTATATTCACTTATGAGTTCCATTTCAGCATTACACTCGGCATTACCCAACATCCTATCGAAATTGTTCATAATGTAATCTGGTGCTCTTAAGGTACGACAATGGACTGAAATTATTTTAAACCCCATCTATGTCTTATAAAAACAGAGTGTCTCTAAAATGATCATGGAACAAAAGCGATCATCTCTGCACTATATAAGCCAACGTCACAATGTATATAATATAGCAGGAAGATATTATCTTCCTGCTCATATGGATTTGGGGAAGTCTTCACAGGTTTCTTTCTTTTTTTTCTGGATCTATAGCGGAAGTAGGTACCTAGATATTCCAGCTGAACAACTGGATGATCGCACATTCTTGTCATCAAATCACTAGTTAATTGTTGCAATAATAATATTTGCCAATAAAGTAAAAGATCATTCCATTTTACGCTTATAATCTGTCAAGGCTTACACAAAAAATATCTTTATTTAATTCGGGGTTTTTCATTAAGTTCTTCCATTCCAGTTGTTATTGTGCTCGAAATAGTGTATGGACACGCCCTGAGAAAGTATCGACACTTTTGATTATGGCCACTGTGAGACTGGAGAGGCCGACAAAAGGAGCTGATTAAGGGTAAGTATCAAACAATATACAATGCATTAACAAAAAAGCGTTGATGCAATATTATCCTGAGAAAAAAAGAAATGATGTACAATATCCAATGGAGTTGTGTAAACCAGACACTAAAGACAAAGCATTTGCATGAATAAATTAGACACTAGTGTAGCATTTTCTTAAAATTAGCTGAGACCTTTCATTAAGATGTTTCAAGGCTA